TTGATTCATATTCGTCCATTTTTTCATTTGTTAGGATGGTTCGTTTTAGGTAAATGCCCAAATAGTTTAATTAAACTATGTTCCCCTCCATGTGTTGTTGATATACATATCAAGTTTGCTAATTTATGTTGGGGTCACGGCAACTTTTGTATTGGAAGATTCCTAGTTAAATTAGTTTTCTTTACTCATAACATATTCTATTATCACTTTAGCACAAAATCCCTAATCTTTATCTCCCTATTTTTTATGTTTCATGTACAACTGGAGGGCAGGAGTTTCTACTTTGGAACTCGTTACTAGCCTAAAATATTAGGCCAACAACAATTAGGAGCATCGCAACGCTTGGAGTCTTGCAAATTAAGAGTTCAATGTTTTCTTAGCCTTTCTTTCGTCGTCCTATTTATGTTGTTTTGATATGTTGGCTAACCTTTACTTACAAGTTTTGGTATATTGTTTGTCTTTTATTTTGAATCTTATTTTACGTGAACTAATATTATTTGTTTATGAATTTACCGGAGACACTGTTAGAACAAATGATACAAAAGATATTTTCTTAAAAATAGGTTAGCATTTTCACTTATAACATTCTTTCAGGCTTTTTAAGTTGAAAAGAGGGCTTATAATTATAAAAGATTTTTCAAATGAAGTTTCAAAAGGGTGAGGTAATTTTCATTTAGGTCATTAAGTAAGAAAAATAAAACTCATGAGTTGGGACTTCCAAATGAATTTAGAGTTACATAAATGTTAAAATAATATTTATTTAGACCAGCTCATCGCTTAGGACCTTCAAATATTTTGAAACTAGTTTAAAGGCTAGAATAATTACATTTAGAAATTTATTTAAGACTAAGATATTTATCTTTAGATATACATTTTTTTTAAGAAAACAAGCAGGGAAGTAGGCTTAAATGTTTAACAAAATAAATGTAGCTATAGAATAAATCCCAATAATTAGGCTTATTTTATATTATTTACATCACCCCTTTACAAAGTATATTGGCTATTCTTACTTTTTTTTTTTAAAAAAAAAATCAAATATTTCTAAAACATTTAAACTTTCTAACATGTTATTTCAAGATTTTAGATATGCCAACAGGTTCAAAAATACAAGGTATATACATATATATGTTATATGCAGAAAGGTACAAATTTTATATTTCTTAGTTTTTCTCAATGCGTAACTTATTATTTTGTTATACTTTCATATTATTTTTCTCATATCTATTATCACTTTTACAAATGTTAATTTTTTTTTATATAATTTATAAATCCTTATGCTTAAATATACATATTACTTTAGTATATATTTGCGTCTGACTACTCTCTCATTTTTATTTTATTTTCTCTTTCACGTCTTAATTCTATAAAACGACAAGTTTTCATATCCTTTAAACTCAACATTTATTTTTGGATACATTTATATAAGACGCATCTATATTTTTTTAACTCAAAATTGTCATACACTTTTAGCGCATTTAGTTATTTATTTATTTTTCTTACCGTTTAATAAACATACTACTACCACTTTATCTAATAGACATATATATATCGTATCTTGTATTTTACTCCTTTTTTTTTTGAAAAACTAATAAAATTTACTTACCATTGATTTTAAAGCAAATAAATAAATAAGTTTTCCTAATTATATTTTCGTAAATTGAGTTTAAGGACTATCTTCGGATAAGTTCTTAGGGATGCTTAACACTTTTTTCTCGAGTAACCAAAACCTTACTCAGAATCTCACTGATTTCACAAATTAAAACAGGATTTACATTTACATATTTAAATGGTTTCCTAATATTTTCCTTCAAATTTAGGTGACAACTCTAAAATAAAAAACATTTTTTTCAAAATCAGAGTGTCAGTCATATTATGTTGTGAACCGTTTTGGCGAGTTCGAAATAGGGGTGAAGCAGTTTGGCGACTCTGCTGGGGAATCTTACTTAGATTTAACCTTAGAAAACTTAATTTAGGAATAATACTTGTGATTACTTGTTTATTTTTTGCTTGTTTGTTTTTTCGAATTGATATATTATTTTGATTGAAAGGTCGCAAATGAAATCCAAACTTGTGTTCCTTATTTGTTTTAAAACAATATTTGTTACTACTTTCTCTACACTGTCATTTGCACTTTCTATCGAGTCTTTGGCCATACACACACACTGTACATGCGAGGGGTGTTCCTGCATTCCTTTGAAACTCTCTTTGGATTCCTTAGTTTCAGAGTTGATGCAATTAAGATAGTACACCTTCTCACAATTACTCAGTTCCACTCTCAATCATCTAGAAAAAAATCTTACTCTTTAAAATAGGTCATGTTGCATAGCCTTAGGTAAGACAGTATACGATATTGTCATTGCATTTAGAAAACCACCTAAATGTCAATGAGTTTCTTCTTTAAAACTCGACGACAATAAACTGTGTGTGATTGATATAAATTATCCTAACTTAAACACTTAACGGATTTGGAGAAAATAAACTCATCATACCCTTTACTCTTTCTTTCAGATGCAAATCAACCAAAACCTTCATGATATCAGAATGATGACTGAGGTCCCCCGAACTTTGAAAGAGTGGTGGGGAAACATCTGAGTGACCAACATAAATGAGATTATGCCACACTTGGGGTCGTTAATTGGTCTGCTGAATATGGAGGCAAATAGGTCACTCATTATTCTAATGATTGAATTTTGGAAACCAACAACAGTGACTTTCCAGTTCACAGATTTTGAAATAATGCCAACACTGGAAGAGATAAGTCAAATTACTGACTTACCATTGACTGGCAGAGCACATTTGGCCCCGCGCACTACATCAGTAATCGATTTTCTCCAGTCTTTGGGTTTGAGGGTAGGCCGATGTTTGCGAAAAGTTGACAAGGGATGGATCAGGTTGGATTATCTGTGTAAAAGGTTCGGTCGTCGAGATAGCTATGATAGGTTCCATCAAGAATTCTTTATCTCCAGGGTTGATTGGGAGAGACTCAGGGCTGTTGTCTTCGTGACGACCTTTTTAGGTATGATGATCTTCCCAAAGAAAAAGGGTTGTGTCGACATCAACTTACTGCCTATGGTCATCTTCATGTTTAGAGGACCTGTTAGAGTAACTATGGTACCTATGATCTTGGCAGAAATATTTCGATCATTATCCATCGGCTCTAGAGGATCTGATCACTTTAAGAGAAGTAACCTGTTGTTGCAGATTTGGGCGTTGGATCACTTCTATCAAAGACGAGCAGAGAATGGCACTAAAGCAGCCTCACCCAACAAGATAAGGAGCCATGTGATAAGATTGAACATGTGGGATGCCCCAAATAATAAAGAAGGTTGACGTCTTTTCCTAACCTACCTCACAGAGAACCATATTCAATGGTGACTACCATGGGTCCACGACCGAGCTTTGTTGAGAACTAATCATGCCTATTTCATTGAGTTGATTGGGTTGGAAGGCTTCCAGCCCTACGCACCTCTAAGTCCTTCAGCAGTTTGGGATTACCCAAGGCGTTCCTCTATGGTCAAATATGACATTGATAGAGGTCAATTATGAAGGAAGAATCCCGATCGAAAGGATCGCTGCTTTGGTACAAGGATGGTGCGGTATTCTTGACTCAGACATGGGGGTTGAATCATGGTGCACGCCTGAATATTATACTTGGTTTATGATGTGAGGAATTCTCACTAGGCCTAGCTATGAGGGAATCTTGGGGTTCACAGACACTCAAAGGTCAAATCAAATTGGCACGGAGCTATTGAACCTCATGCACATCAATACAACCATGTATCAGCAGGTGACCACATGGTCTATCGATCATCTCATACAGGCAGTTGACGATGAACCAAATGAAGAGATGGAGGAAGACCCAGAAGAGGATCCAGAAGAATACTTAAAGCATGACCTTAATTTGTATGACCCTAGAGATGGAGGAGTGATGCATATAGAGGATGAATTTGTTCCAACAGTAGAAGACACTCACTCGGAATATGGTTCCATAGGGTTTGATGAAAGGAAAGATTCAAACAACTGGGAATGGAAAATCGACGAATCCTCAGAGTATCTGCCGGGGCCTTACTATTATTTGGGGGACAATGATGATAATGATGCTCCAACTTGGCCGTAGATCATCTTTCTTCTTTGAATTCCCTCATAAGCTCTTTAAAGTGTCGTATGACCTATCCCTCTTGTATGTCTTATGCCCACCCCTGTACTTTCATTTTTTCGGCTTCTTATCGCCTACTTCATTGTAATAGCCAGACTACTTAATCAATGAAGTTTTGTTTGCTTTAAATCTAAAATATGTTTAAATGGATCATCTATTATCAAGCTAATTGCAACGTAGGCCTACCTTAGGCAAAAATAGGTTCTATATTAGGACGCGTTTTGAATGTCGTCGATTTGGCGTATATATGTGTTACATTTACTTATTTGTTACAACTTTCAATATTTCCCAAACTAACATAGTTTCCCTTTCCCTTTCTCTTTGTTTTCTTTTCTTTATTTATCTCCAAAAGTACGTTGATTTGTGTCGACTTACAAACTGACTAACTCACGATACAACCTTCAATCAAAGGGGAAAATGACTAATAAAGACGAGTTCAACGCTGTCACAAGCATAATAGTTCCTATTGAGAATCTCGAAAGTTCTCGAGATATAGCTGACATTCAAAACGAGGAGAAAATGGCTCACATGGAACAAGAACTCGAGATCTTTAGGGAAGAATTGTGTCAAGTGCGAGACTTGACCAAACTATCGGCGACCACTTTCCCTATTTTCAAGACACCTATCTACTTCCCAAAGGCTGACTTGCCTTCTGCCGACTTACCAAATCAGCTGAAACTAACTCAACGCGCTCCTACTCACGGTCAAGTTGCCTTCTGCCGACTTACCAAATCAGCTGAAACTAACTCAACGTGCTCCTACTCACGGTCAAGTTCCACCAGCTTCTCCAAACACAATTAAGATCATTCCTGACCTTTCTAATCGCGACCCTACCATTCCTACAATGCAACAGATACTTGGGGCACATGTCGCCGCTCCCTATGAGACACATGTTCCACCTGTATATGCCGCTGGAGCTCCTACCTTCACTATGCCATCTTTGATTTATGTCCCATACGAGGTCGATCAATATGAAAAAATAGAGATAGATGCCCGGTTGAAAGAAGATGCATCGATAAATGCCCAACTTCAAGGTCTGAGAAAGGCATTGAAAAGCTTACAAGTCACTAGAGGGACAGAAAGTCTGGATTATGATGACTTGTGCATCCATCCAGACATTGACATGCCAGTAGGGTACAAACCACCGAAGTTTGACATGTTCGATGGAAAGGGTGACCCTTACACACATTTAAGGGCATACTGTGACAAGTTAGTCGGTGTAGAGAGAAATGAGAAGTTGAGGATGAAGTTGTTCATTCGGAGTCTGTCGGGAGAAGCATTAACCTGGTATACCCGCCAAGACCCTCGCAAATGGCGTGACTGGCAGGAAATGGCCGAGGACTTCATGACTCGTTTTAGATTCAATACTGAAATTACTGCTGACAGATTCTCATTGGCCAATATACAGAAGAAGCCATCTAAGAATTTCCAGGAATATGCACGACGTTGGAGAACTGAGGCCATGAGGGTGCAACCACCACTAGATGAGAGTGAGCTCTCAAAGTACTTTATTTTAGCTCAAGAAGGTATCTACTTTGACAAGATGATGTCAATGATGGGTCAGAAGTTTGCAGAATTGGTCAAGATTGGAGACTTTATAAAGAAGGGTGTTAAATCTGGGAATATCCAGTCTATGGTCGCATTGCAAGCTGCAAGTAGGGCTATACAATCGGGTTTCATTGGCGGCATCAATAAGAAAAGGGAGGATGTTTCAACTGTCACTTACCAACCAGGAGGACCATCCCACCGATACCCCAATAATCCCCAAATCACTGCACATACTTCATACGTCCCAGTATATAATACTCAACCACACTATAATCCACCCCAAGCACCAGCATACCAAAATCCTCCAAGACCATATGTCCTTGTCCAAGCACCAATACACTAAAATAGACCAGCATATGCACCAAGACCACGTCCAAATCTTGAAGCTAGAAATTCTTGCACTTATACACCGATTGCCGAACCTACGCCCAATTGTTTGAGAGGTTGAAGACAGCGGGAGTGTTGCAACCAGTTGAAGGAAAACTTCCTAATCTAATCCCTCATAATTTTTATGGGAACAAGTGATGTGCTTACCACTCGGGAGTCCAGAAACACGACACAGAAGATTGTTATGGTTTGAAGAACCAGATCGAGTCTTTGATCAGGAGAGGAGTAATCAAATGCACTCCAGCACCTTCCAATGTGAACAACAATCCCTTGCCAAACCATGAGAATCGGTAAGTCAACATGGTTACTTTGGATGACGAATATGGAGCCCCCAACTATCCAAACATAGGTGAAGTAGATGCCATGCCATCTCCGGCGCAGCATGTTATCACTGTTCAACTAAGGGAACATCTGGTTGTCCAAACATATCTCCCAAGAGTTGTAGTGACCACTCTAATTGCTAGAAAGCCTGAGTATGATACCAAAGTTGTCCTTTGGGACTATCGAGCAGGCGCCAAGGGCAAGATGATCGACACTGCCGTGGCTTAAGGGATGACTAGGTCGGGGAGGTGTTATGCCCCAGAGGACCTAAATCAAAGAGTTCTTGGTCTCTTCTTATGAGTTCTGAAGCTCATACGAATGCTTTAATGGAGGTGTTAAACAGAGTGAACATTCCAAAAAAGACCACAAGTGTAACCTTAGCTTCAACGATTGGAAGAATAGTGGAAGCTAACAAGAGTTCTTTCCATGAGAATGAGTTGCCTACGGAAGGGACCGGGCACAACAAAGCACTTCACATCGCAATCAAATATTGTGATAAGATTGTGACTCAAGTTTTAATTGATGGTGGCTCTGGATGCAACATTTGTCCTGTCACCACTCTGAGGGATTTAGGTGTTAATATGGGAGAGATAAGGGAAAGTCGTGTGAAAGTTAGAGCCTTTGATGGAGCGCAAAGAAATGTCATCGGAGAAATCTATCTCACATTGCATGTAGGGCCGACTGAATTCCCCATTCTATTTCAAGTGATGGATGTATCGTCCAACTACAACCTATTGTTGGGAAGACTATGGGTTCACATGGCAAGAGCGGTTCCTTCCACTCTTCATCAATGTGTAAAGTTTGAGTGGGGTCGCACAGAAGTTACCATCCACGGGGAGCTCAGTCACCCCATTCATTCTGTTAATTCTATCCCAGTAACTGACGAGTTAGACGGAGCCACTTTTCACACTTTGGAAATCATGCAAGCTATAAGGGTCAATGAGGAAGCAAAGCCCGGAGATACCAAATTGTCAAGTATAACAAAAATGGTTGCGTCAGAAATGTTGAAGTATGGGTATCAACCAAAGAGTGGACTTGGACCCAAGTCCAACGGTATAGTCGAGCCAATCCAACTGAAGCATCAGAGAGGCACCAACGAACTCGAATACGAGCCTGCCTTGGGAAGATTCCACCGGGAGGAAAGTGATACAATCTTCGTACCAGAACAAGCTTTGATTCCTGATCAAGCTGGTGTTGATGACATAACAGAAGGAATAGGCAATTTGTTCGTGGCCATGGCTGGAGAAGAGGAAGGGATAAATCTCAACAGGTTGACCATTCATGATGCCGAACCTGGAGAAATCTTACAGAATTGGACCACCAGCCCATCCGTATTTCAACCAGAGTCCTGGTAGTGTGGAACAGTAGTCTTAATTTTAAAATTCGCATGATCAAATTGAGGCTTGAATCATGCCTAATCTTTTGTTGCTTGCCTCTTCTAAAAAGCTAGAATGCTTTGAAATAAAAAGTCTTTATTTTCTTTAAAAAATTCTCGTTATTTTAAATATATATTTATCTTTACTTACCTTTTGAACTTTTCAGCACTCATATAAATAAAAATCCTTGTTCAACGGTTATGACATGTAACGAATCTACTGAGAAAGGTGAAAATGATGAACAAGATCACGAAGAGTGATGAAAGCAGGATGCCTAGAAACCTACCACACCAGATTGAGCAGGTTGAAAGTCAGAAGAAACCCAATATGGATGAAACAGAGGTTGTCAACTTAGGAGATGAGGAAATCGTGAAGGAGACATGAGTCAGCATACATTTGGAGGCTGAAAGAAAGCAAGGGTTAATAGAATTACTTACGCAGTATGTTGACGTATTTACTTGGTCTTATGATGACATGCCACGATTAAGCACCAATATTGTCTCGAAAAAATTACCGACTGATCCCATTTGTCTACCTGTTAAGCAAAAGACAAGAAAATTTAAGCTAGATTTGAGTTTAAGGATCAAGGAGGAGGTAACTAAGCAAATTAAGGCGAACATTGTGAGGGTTACAAATTACCCCACATGGTTAGCCAATATTGTGCTTGTGCCAAAAAAAGATGGAAAGATCAGAATATGTGTGGACTATCGAGATCTCAATAGGTCCAGTCCTAAGGATGATTTCCCTCTTCCAAATATTCATATACTCATCTATAATTGTGCAAAACATGAGTTGCAATCATTTGTCGATTGCTTTGCAGGATATCACCAAATCCTGATGGATGAAGATGATGCAGAAAAGACAGTGTTTATCACTCCATGGGGAGTGTATTGCTACAGAGTAATGTCATTTGGTCTCAAAAATACCGGTGCAACCTACATGAGGGCCATGACTACCCTTTTCCATGATATGCTCCACAAGGAAATTGAAGTGTACGTGGATGATGTGGTTATCAAATCCAGGAGAAGTTCAGACCACCTGGATGACTTACGAAAGTTCTTTGAAAGGTTGCGCAAGTATAATCTGAAATTGAATCCAGCAAAGTGTGCATTTGGAGTACCTGCAGGAAAACCATTGGGATTCATTATTAGCAGAAAAGGCATTGAGTTGGATCAATCAAAGATAAAGGCAATCCAAGAGCTACCTCCGCCCAAGACCAGGAAAGATGTGATGAGTTTCTTAGGAAGACTGAATTACATCAGTCGGTTCATAGCTCAATACACAGTGATCTGCGAACCCATATTCAAGTTACTGAAGAAGGATGCTGCCACAAAATGGACAGAAGAATGCCGAAAGGCTTTTGATAGAATCAAAGAACACTTGTCCAACCCACCAGTATTAGTCCCACCAGAGTCGGGAAAGCCTTTGTTATTGTATCTATCTATCATGGATAATGCATTTGGATATGTATTGGGGCAGCATGATGAGACAGGTAGAAAAGAGCAACTCATTTACTATCTGAGCAAGAAGTTCACACCATACAAGGCAAGATACACCTTGTTAGAACAGACATGTTGCGCTTTGACTTGGATTGCACAAAAGTTCAGGCATTACATGTATGCATACACCACGTACTTGATCTCAAGAATGGATCCACTCAAGTACATCTTTCAGAAACCAATGCCTACAGGTAATCTAGCAAAGTGGCAAATTTTGTTGAGCGAGTTTGATATCGTGTATGTGACACAAAAAGCCATCAAAGGACAAGCCCTAGCAGATCACCTCGCAGGAAACCCGGTGGACCAGATAACATATTTGGCAGCTATATTATATTCAAGATAGTAATATTGTTATTTATTGAAATGTATTTTTATTTAATACACAACAAATAATATGTAATGGTGTTTCTATGGAATTTGATCATTTATACTCTGCAATATTATGCCCCTAAATCCTAATAATACTAAGCGTTGGGCCCGTGATAGCACGAGCCATACATATCTAGTATATATATATAAGCGGCAAGGGAAATAGTTGTTGGACGACATGTCTGCTTCCCTAGCCAAGGCTAATTTGAGAATTTCCTCAGTATTATGCAGAAACAAGATTATACTTCACTGCTTTACAATTGTACTTCCTCATTTATTGGACATAAAAGTCCGCCCATATTTTCCTTTGACTTTACCTCAAGCTGAAAAATGTGGGCCCTTGTTTATGTCTAATTTTACGTTTTTTCAATTTTTCTTTTCATTATCCAATTGCCTATTAATATGTGGACCCCACTTTAACAATTCTCATTTCCTTTTCTTTATTTGTTCCTCACAGCTTCTTTTTTAATTTTTTTCACTTTATTTCTTTTGTGGCAAATTAACTTTCTGAAATTTAATTACTTCATTTATTATATTGTATTAAAAAAATTAAATTTTCTAAAAAGATTTAGTTGATTCTTGAAATTCTATCATTATCACATGAATTTGAAAAAATAAAATAAAATATAGTATTAAAAATTACATAAGAGATAATATAAATCACAATAATTAGCAACTGAAAATATTTTTAAATCATATAAGAAATTTGGTTGACTAATTGAAATAAAAGAAGTATCATATAGTATTTGAAAATGACGTCAAAAGTTCTATAATTACAATAAATTACCAACTGAAAATATTTATGATTATTCACGTGAATTGGAACAGGAATAACATATATTATTTTAAAATGACGCAAAAAGTACTATAAATCACAACAAATTAATAACCTCGAATATGTTTTAAAAAGGCATATAAAAAATTGGTTAATTTTTCAAATTTCAATTGTATGACATAAATTGAGATAGAAAAGAGTAACATATATTGGGCCCGTGCTTTTTCTGCAAACTTCGTTCTTAAGAGTTAGGAGACGACCCTAGGCAATTTCTTGACAGTTTTCCACAACTTTTGATGCTAAAGGTAAGGATTTTACTTCCCTAATCCATTTTTCGATCCGTAGAACGTAAATTTATGTGTAATTATCGTTGGGGAAGGGTTTTGGCCTAAAGTTGATGATGGAAATAAGCCCTAGTTGCACCTTAGGATCATGGGTTTGGTCTTGGGTTATTGGGTTTATTATAAATCGGGTAAATTAGACCTTAATTATTGATCTTTACATTAAATTATTCGTTTGTAGACCAAGAACAAGCGGAAAGAATCCGGAAAGGGAAGACTCAAGTGTCTTAGGAGGATTCAAGCTTAGTTTTGAGGTAGGTGATGGTTTGATTTCC